CCCCAAAACCCCAAAACCCCAAAACCCCAAAACCCCATTAGATAAATCAATGATTGAAATGATTGCTAACATTAATAAATTATGCTTTGGCAGGGCTGCGTAATAGCTGAGTGCTAACTATAGTCTCATAGTTTCTTGAGTCTCACTAGTTTCTTGAGTCTCACTTTCCTCATCATCTTTATATATATTAAGACTACTCTCTTTGAAATTAGCTTTGATTATATGCTTTTTGACTTTTAATGATCTTGGTAATGAAATCAGAAGAATGTAAATTATCTATATAAAATTATACTAAAAACCCTTTACCAATCAAATGAATGCTGAAAGTGAGATTATTTCAGCAAATCTTTGGAATCCTAAAGGTTCTTCAATTCTTGTAGATATCAGAGGGCCAATGAAAGTTCCAGTGCCGTAAGCAAGATTAAATAATCCTGAGAAATAGAGAGTTACTTGCTTATATTCTTCGTTAACAGTGTCATAATCAGCTGCTCATCCTTGCATAATTGGAATACTAGTTACAATTAAACATGCATAGGAAGCTCCAAAGAGTGGAAATCCAATAAATACCATGAATAATTTATTAGGAAACCCAAGAGTTTTAGATGGGCCAATAAACAAAAAAGCAATACCGAGTAGGATCCAACCAATTCATGAAATAATTCTCTTTGTCCTAATTTCTTTTGCAAATATGTGCAACAAAAGGGATGTCAATGTGAATGGGATATTTGAAAGTAAAAATGTCAAACCTTTCAAATATTCTGGTATTCCAAACTCATCTAACCTGTCAGCCATAAGTGGAGCTAATGAGTCAATAAGAGTCATAGCAAAGAAAACATTTATTACCGTTCCAAAGATTCTTGCATCAGCAAAGATATACAGAGACTTAAAAGATCTTTTAGAAACAATATCAGTCGCGTTTGTAGATGATTTCTCATCTTTTATTTCTTTGACAAAAATAGCTATGGCCAATGTATTTATTAACAATCCAACGCTAATTGTCGCAAAAGTAGTAAAGAATCCAAACCATTTAAAAATAAAGCTACTGACTACCAGAGACACAATAGGCCCAATTCCAAGAGAAGCTTTGATGATTCCCATTCCTTTCTGAGTGTTTTCTTTATATAAAATTGAAGCATAAGAATATCATGCTGTTGTATAAGTACTCATTCCAGCTCCGTTAAATAGCCTAGATATCATGGCTACCCAGAAGAATGTGTTCGAGTCTTCGATAAAATCTAGACAAGCAAAAGTCATGATCGAAAGAGCACATATCAGAAGTGGGAGTACTAAAAATTTCTTCCTTCCAAATTTCTTCATTAAAAATGGAGATGCAATTGAGAATATCATAAACGGCAAAGAGTTTAGTCCAATGGTCAGTCCAACCAAGCTCTGGCTCAAATCTCTGTCATGAGCCAGCTTTGGAAAGTATGCAAAAGTAGTGTAAGCATATCCCATTACTAATGAGACTCCAGCTGCAAGAATAATAATCACGACTAGTCTATTGATCATCAGTTTATGAATATAGTCCGATAGTTAAATTAATATTTTATTCATGACGTTCATTCAACCTAAAATACCAATTTTGGGGTTTTGGGGTTTTGGGGTTTTGGGGTTTTGGGGTTTTGGGG